AATAAAACATTGTCCACTTGAAAAGATACTGAATAAAACATTGCCCACCTCAAAAAATATTAAATAAAACATTGTCCACTTGAAAAGATACTGAATAAAACATTGCCCACCTCAAAAAATATTAAATTAAACATTGTCCACTTGTAAAGATACTGAATAAAACATTGCCCACCTCAAAAAATATTAAATAAAACATTGTCCACTTGAAAAGATACTGAATAAAACATTGCCCACCTCAAAAAATATTAAATAAAACATTGTCCACTTGAAAAGATACTGAATAAAACATTGCCCACCTCAAAAAATATTAAATTAAACATTGTCCACTTGTAAAGATACTGAATAAAACATTGCCTACCTCAAAAAATATTAAATTAAACATTGTCTACTTTAAAAGATACAGGATCACATATGCAGGTAGAGAGAAAAATGAAAGAGGAGTAGGTCTGATATTAGAGCAAAATATGAAATGTGTTATTGAATACTGTAAACTATCTGAAAGAATTCTTGTTAAATTGAAAGGAAAGCTTTTCATAGTCGTATATGCACCGACAACACAAAGTACATAAGAAGAAATTGAAAAGTTTTATTGTATGCTATATGATGCCACTAAACTTACTATTGAGAAATCAGTTTTCCTGTATTTCATTCCTTCTGTATTCTATCTTCATTTTTCAGCCTTGATAGGGTTAAAAGCCATCTACATAACCTTGTTATGTAGATAGTTTTTCCACTTTACCACCCCTTTCTCCACAGACAAAATTTTGCAAGCCTCTCGCTACTCTATTGCTATTTCCATAGAAAATGCTCTGATGAGCTACATTCATTAGTTCTACCAGTTCAGACCTTTAGAGCTAAGTCCTGCCAAGAAAATCATTCCTATTCCCATTGGTTAGAAAGAAGGAACAGACTCCCAAGTGGATGCTCTCTAAACACTACAATCTTAACCTCTTCAAGTATGGGTCAGTTGTTATCTATCCTACATATTCTTCACTTTTTACCTCCGCATCTTATATTTATATCACACTCCCCATTCAGTAACCCTCTAACTTGAATGGCTCTTGAGCCTTGTATCGAGTAAAAATTTTAAATTAGAAAATAATTCTCTGCTAAATTCTTTTCTTATCATTATTTACAACTGAACTAATATCTTTATCTTTATTATCATTATCACACTTTTTTAGCCATTGTGTGGTTTAGGATTGTCCCAAGGGAAAGTTGCCTAGTGGATTGGATCATGGATTTGGGGACATAATAATTGTGAGTTCAATCTCTGAGATGGGTAGTACGAGTGGTGAGCAATAACTGATCAGTATTAAAAAGAGAACAAGATGAGATATCCCTAGACATGGACACTGAAACTTGAACATGCCAGCCCTGTATATTAAAGAGAGAGTTGATTTTGAAATTCTCTAAAGTTTACTGGGATCAACAAAGCCAAATTAGATTGCGGCTACATGAATTACAAATCCACAAGTAAATCTTACATCAAAAAACTACTACTACCAATCCAGAACCAGGAACTGAAACTCAGCCTGGGAGCCTACTGAACTTCACCCATAGGCAGCCTTCAAATGGAAGCCAACAAACATCCATTACACCTAAAGTTTGAAACATTAGCCAAACAATACTCATTAAAACTTCAAAGTAACTATAATAATCCAACACATGAAAGAACTTTCAAACTACAACACACAATGTTTATATTATCACCATAGCCTATGTATTGAGAACCTCCCTAAACAAACATTATCATTTAGGTTTTACTTTATCACTAAGTCTCTCAAGTCAATATTCTGCCAAAATGTTGACAGATATTGACTATGCAGATGATCTAGCTATCATTGCAGACACCATTACCAATGCCAAAATTCTACATCATCTAGAAAATGCTGCCAATGATGTTGGACTCTATATCAATGCCTCTAAAATTGAATTCATAGGCAAGGCTAAATACAAACTATCCCGTATGAATCAATAAAATCTGTTGAATCTTTTACATACCTAGAAAGTGAAATAAATTCTATTGGAAAGGATGTGAAAATTTGCATAGTTAAAGCCTGGGCCACCTTGAATAAAATGGATATGATATGGAAATCTGATCTATGAAGACAACCTCAAGTAAAGATTCTTTAGAGCCACTGTAGAAGCAGTGTTAATGTATAGAGCCATTGCCTGGACATTAACTAAAACCCTAGAGTCTAAGCTTGATGGAACCTATACCCAGATGCTGAGAGCTATACTTAACATTTTCTGTATTAAGATTACTTGAATACACAAGCTGATATATGTAATACACACTGTTTAATGAATAAAAATATGGCGTCAATAATAATGTTTGAAGTAATAAAAATTTGGGATTAAAAATAAATCTATTAATTCTTTAGAAATTGCTTTAATTACATTTCAGATATGAAACTCAGCTGATATGGGCTCTTAAGAAAAATAATCTGAGTGAAGAGGATGCGATTTCCTTGAAGAAAGAAAAACAGAACCTTACTTGTTGTGACACTTTTTGTGCTGAGAATGTAGCTCATCTGGTCTCTATTCTCAGACACATTAAAATAGCGATAGAGTAGCAAAATGCTTTCAGTGTTGCATCAATGGGAGAGAGGTTGCAGATTGAATAATATGGCTTCCCTCATAAGACAGTATAAATGTCCTAGCTGTAAATGTCTGAACTGATGGGATTAAAGAATAGAGCTCATCAGAACATTTGCTATGGAAATAGCAATAGAGAAGCAAAATGCTTGCAATGTTGCATCTATGGGAGAGAGGTTTCAAATTGAAGAATATGGCTTCCTTCACAAGACTGTGTAAATGTTCTAGCTGTAAAGGTTTTATCTGATGGGGCTAAAAACTGGAGCTCATCTGAACATTTGCCATGGAAATAACGACTGAGTAGTGATAGGCTTGTAATGTTAATACTTTCCAGAATAGGAAGCTGTAATAATTTATTTCCTTTACTTCACAATTGACCTTTGGTAAGATCTAAAACTGATCTTTTCAGTTCTAATCTCACAGAAGCTCTGTTTCCCATCAGCCTATACATATTTGAAACTAGTTCTATATATATTTGTGAAAGGGTGTGATATTCTTGAACACTATTCTCTCTTATAAAAGTGAGCATGTGTTTGTATTTGTCATATGCATCACAAGTGTTTATATTTTTATGAATATGTCAGCTCTTTGAGTTGATAGACAATATTTCCAGCTACAGGTGGTGCACTTTAAAAAGAAAATTTAAAAAAAAAAAAATTCTAAAAAATAAAAAAAATAAATAAATAAAAAGGCTCCAAAAATCATCCTGCATCTTATAGCTCGATGGTTGTACTTACATGGGCCTTGAAGTATAGTTTACTTTTAGTAGATGAACACCTAAAGAATTCATTATGTATTCCTTTGGTAAGAACAGACAGTTTCTTTTTCAAGAATTGCTACACTGAAGAACTAACTTCTACATGGATGCTTCTCCAAATTCTACAGTCTTAACCTCTTCAAGTTTAGGGTCAATTGTTATTTATCCTCTGAATCCTCATAATCTTCACTTTTATGTTCATATCACACATCTTAATCAGTAACTCTCTACCTTGAGTAGCTCTTTGGCCTCGTATTGGGTGAATATTAGTATAAAAAATAGTTTGAGTCATTTGTCATTTGATAACTCTAGGAATATATATATTAATATAACAAATTATGATTACAAATCAAAATAATTTTAAACGATAAAAAAATCAATTATGCACAAGTTTTTTTTAGTTTGTTTTTGTTCTTAAATTTTAATTTCATGTTATATGTCAGCAAATACATAAATTCTGTTTATACTGACAAATGATTTTATCAAATGACCAAAAGATTTTGTTCAGTTTTTCAATATTCTTGGCTTATTGAAACATTGAAACATTGTCTAAGTTCCCAATACGATCACCAAAGATAAGCAACATCAAGCCTGGTCAGTACCGAAATGGGTGACCATTTGGGAATACCAGGTGCCATAAGCTTGGATGTGAGGGTGGTGTAATGGATAATGGCTCAGAATTGTTAATCAAACAGCAAAGTTTCAATTCTTGTTGGGTTCATTATATTGACTTGCACACAAATACCTTTTGGAAAGGTGTGAATCCACTCCTTCTCTCCCAGCTATGGGTTAAGTAATAAGACTTGTATGACTAAACCATTATCATATCAAAAACAATTCTTAGAATCTAAAAATATTTTCTGGCTTTAAATAACCTGCAAAAGGGTTGATAAGCCATAGAAAATGAATTAATTAAACAATGTTCTTGTTCTTATCAGGTTGAATATATATATATATATATATATATATATATATATATAAAGGCCCTACAAATGCAACAGACTGTAAGCGTTTTCAGTAAAATTAAATCTACATATGTCATTTACTAGATATTTCAGTCTACAGTAGACATGAATGAAAACAACATACATAGCTAAAATTTGATTCTTAGCATATGATTGAATTTGAACTTAGGACAAAAGCAGCAAAAGTGACCACAGTATTTATGGCAGAAGAAGTTAACAACTGTAATACTTAAATGTTTCACTCAGGTTTTCAACTCTTGAAAGAGGTCACTCAAAAATAATTTAACTGGTATGTATTCATGATTGCAAACAATTTTTTTTAATTTAATAATTCTGAATGCTGTATTTTAAGACTCACTTTTTATTTTCAAATATTTGAATTTCATAAATTCATCATAGATACACAAAATGAACAAGTTTTCAACTGTGATAAAGTTTCAGTAACATTTTGATATGCTATCCAACAATCTTTTTTTATATTCCCTGTTAAAGTTGAGGGGATCTTCCACAATACAGAATATGCTATTTAATTTATGACTCAAGATATACATTAAAAATTTACAACCCCAGATACACTTTAAAAATTTTGTTTGTCTCTATATAATTATTATATTGAAACAAATGTGTTGTTCAGTTTCCTTATGTGTTTGTTTCTTTAATAGGTTTTAAAACGCACAATGGAAAAAGTCACCTCCACTGAAGCTACTGCAGGTAGTTTTGAAAGTGACTTGGAAGCACTGACCAGTGGATCTGAGGATTGCAGCAAACGCAATTCTCTGGCCTCAACTAAGCGCCTTTTATTCAAGACGGTTGGTAAACAAGATAGCAATGATTTTAGCCAGGACTACCATGGAATTAAATCATATCTGCACAACTTCTATGATGCTCACTTCTACAAAGATCCATCTATCTATGAAGAGGTATGTTTATTTGTTTTCTAGAAGAACTGTTAATTTTACCAGATCTACCATGTTTGTTTTCTTGAGGAACTGTTAATCAAGCAAAATATACCATGTTTATTTGTTCCCTTGAGGAAGCCTTAATTATACAACATGTGTCCTGTTTGTTTTCTTGAGGAACCCTTAATAATACAAGATTTTTTTTTAATCATTTCAGCCCAAGCAAGCAAGGCAATAAAGCCACTAATACACAAGGGGTTACTGAATATAAAAACATATGAGAAAATAAAGATAATATTTAGGAGAGAGAACAATAAAAGAACAGGAATTTAGAAGACAAATTGCATTTAAATATTTGAAGGTTAAAGTTGACTGGAAAGCCAGAGGTTGGAAGAGAATTCCACAAAATGAAGTGCAAGAGAAGAAACTGTTATCTTAGAACTTAGTTACATTTAACCATGTCAACTGTAAAACGATGAGACCTAGCTTCCAATCTAGTACTGATCTTAAATTCGGTACTAAATTTGAGGTACTAAAGAGGAAAACTCATTAGAACAATTGCTATGAAGATATTTATAGAAAAGGCACAGGGAAGCTACATTATGGTGGCAGGAAAGTAACTGAATCAAAAATACCAGGTCAAGACCTATAACATTGCAGATTCTACTTTGGATTTTATTGAGAATATCTATAAAACAAATAAACATGTCTTAATTATGCCAGATATAACATGTTTGTTTTTACAAATGTATCATAGTTCATCTGATAAAGGCATTTTCCTTTAAGTGCTGTTTTGGGAAGTTTGTAATTGTTATATAAAGTTTTTAATGGTATATAAGATCTTCCTTAAAATAATGTCTCAGAAAATATCTCCTGGACAAGTATTAGTAGTCTCACTCCATAATACTTTAATATTAAATGTAATTAGTGTATATATATATATGTGTGGGGGGGGTTGATGTAATCAAATACAGTATATATTAATATTAGTCAGTTATGTGCCATGAGTGATACATTCTTAGGCAATCATGTATCTTTCAATACATGACTGACGAGGCAGATTTTTTCCTGCAGTAAGTTGCCATTTCTTTCTGCAGTAGACCAGTTGCCATCCAAGGCTTTAGAACCCGGTTTGTCTTGCTATTTACCCATAGCTGGGGGGAGAAGAGGATTCATATCTTTTCCAAGGGTATTAGCATCTAAGTGAATGTAATGGATTCCACTAAAATTTGAACTCAGCTCTCTGATTCCTCAATCTGAGCTGCTATCCATTACTCTACCATGCCTCCTATACTTGTACCTATATATCTACCTTGTATATAATGCTTCTTACAGTCCTCCAAAACATACCAAAACAAGTCATTCTATCTGTTGCATGAGCTGTTGCTTATTGTTGCTGGCCTTATTTTGATGATTGAATGAAGACATTTACTACTAATTCCTTTAGAGAGAAAAGAGAAGAGATAAAAAGAGCAAACAATCCTTCACATGTGCAAAATGGAGAATAGAATAACCACATCAAGCAAATTCAAATACAATTTAATGTAAATAAAAGAAAACTCTGTAAAAAGTTAGCAGTCAATTTTATACTATATCACAAACAGGTATCCCTTCTAAAATGATAAAAAAAATCAATATATTTTGATTCTGATAAATATTGTGTCTTGGGGGAGGTCTAAGGAATGCTAATCTACAAAAATAATTTCTAAAAAATGTTTCCATATTTTTTTATGAGTTCAGCAGTCTACTTAAGTAATGTTTAATCATTGATGTCTACTGGTCGTATGAAAGGAGTGACTTGAGGCAACAGATATGTAGTTCTATAGAAGAATACCATGGATTGAATATGTGACCAGTGAGGAAGTTCTCAGCTTGACCCACTTCCCAAAATCAGTAATCTGTTGTTTGGTCATTGAAATACTGATTTTTGGGTAGTGGGTGAGGCTGAGAGCTTTTCAGCACTACCCCTCATATTGAGCAGGAGACATTCTCTCAGAAATACTGTTAGCACAAGTTGGGTTTACTTATTTATTTTGATATCAGACACAAAGAAAACTGTAGTAACTTCTAGAGGAGATAGTAAAGGCAACTTACATATTGGAGATGACAAAATCAAGCAGGTATGAAAATTTAAATATCTGGGAAGTGTTTTAACAGAAGACAGTAAATACAACACTAAAATCCAAAGATAGATTGGAATAGTGAAAGGTACCTTTCAAAAGCTAAGCAAAGTATGAAGAAACAAGAAAATTTCATTAGAAACAAAGAAAAGAATGCTGAACTCATATCACTCTTCCTATATGGGGCACCTCAATGTGGTGTAATTGTTAGCAAGCTTGTCTTGCTAGATCAGTTACAGCTGAAATGTGAGTTCGATCCTCACTAGGTGCTCCATATTTTCAGTCTTGTGCCACATCTAAGCTACTCTTAGAAAATAACTAGCACACATCGAGATGGTGTAATGGTTAGCAAACTTGTCTTGCTAGAACAGTTACGACTGAGTAGTGAGTTCGATCCTCATTGGGTGCCTCATACTTTCGGCCTTGTGCCACACCTGAGCTACACTTGGAAAATCACTATCAATCCTCCTATATGGCAGTAAATGCTGAACAATTTCCTCACAAGTGAAGAGGAGAGTTGAGGCAAGGAAATGTAGTTCTACAGAAGAATACTGAGAGTATTATGGATTGAACATGTGACCAATGAAGAAGTTTTAAGGAAAACGCAAACAAAAAGGATGCTTGTGCTTAAAATCAGAAAGAAACAAGTCAATAATGAAAAAAAAGAATATTTGCAGTTGTCTCCCTTTATCTGCAGTTTAGCTTTTCTTGTTTTCAAACTGCCAACAACACTAAACAATTCATGTTTTACTTCATAATACTACCAAGAGGAATGATGCTTGGAATTAGGATAGATAGGCAAAAAGAGAAGCTTTCTTTAACTGAAAAAGAAGTGCTTTCTTTAACTGAAAAAGTGAAATTTCTTGTTTAATAATGGAAGAAAAAATATTTGCTTCTGTTGCTAAGTTCTACAGAATAATTTTTTTTCAATAATATTTATTTTTCAATCTTTATCGTTTTTTCAGTCTGTGTTTATTTTTTCTTTTCAGTCTAATATTTTTATTTTATTTTTTCAGTCTTATATCTTTATTTTATTTTTCCTGTCATCTTTTTATTTTTTCAGTCATATATCTTTATTTGTTCAGCCAAATATCTTTACTTTATTTGTTCAGTCATATGTTATTTTATTTTTTCAATAGTATTTTATTTTTTCTGTTTTATATCTTTTTATTTCATTTTTTCAACTTAATATCTTATTTTTTTTAATCTAATAGCATTTTTGTATTAATGCCCTTAATTCAGTGGTGAATATTCAGATAAAAAAATCAAACATTTTATTTTTATTACAATGATAATTTCAACTCCGAATTCAGATAATATGTCCAGCCGTGGGCTTATTGACCTACCATCCTATCTTTAGTTTCCAATATTATATAAACTCTAAAATATAATGTAAGATACAAATGTAAATTAATCTGATCAAATTATATTTATAACTGTATTATTTGGTATAAGTAAATATTTGTTAAAGAAATAAATTGCTTTCAAATTTGTATATTTTTAGAAAGAATTTCTCTCTTTTGTGGAAATCAAATCAAATAAATTTTAAAAATGTTATGTTCCTAAACAATCTTGAATCTTGATTACGTTTGGAAAAACTGATAATTTTTTTTTCTTTTATTTAAAAGCATTTATAATATTAGAATTAATGTAAATTATAGCTATAAAATTGGCCTAATTTTGAAACTGTTATGAATTTAAAATGTTAAAAGGGAAGTAACTCCTTGGATTGTTAAAACTTGTTTCTATTGGCTTTACAGCAAGGCCATTCATAAAAAAATATCTTATTATAATTCTACTTGTTCCTCCCTTAATTCCTCAGTTGGCACATACATACGTTACACCCTGCTAATACCTCATAGATAATGGACTGTTCTGTTTTGATTGTAAAGAAAGAAAAAACCACATAGCAGAGAGGCTGTTTGATTTCAGTGAGAAAAAGGAAGAAAACAAAATTTAAAAAAAAGCCATTAAATTTTCACAGATACTACTAATATATATATATATATATATATATATATATATATATATATATATATATATATATATGTTAATGGTGAGATTAACCGTTTTATACAGGAAACATTCAGCATTCATTCAGTTAGAATTATTGTTGGTTGAAATTTATAAAATTTTCTCTTAAAATAGTTTTTCAGGAAAATAAATTTTTCAAATTTACTATCATCAGTCTTTCTAGTATTGATGAGAATTTTCTTCCTAACCTTTGTTTAAAGTAGTGTAAAAAATCAATATCTTGAGTATAGCATTATTTTCTCTTCTCTTCTATGGGCTATCCATTTTAGTTGTTGCTGCTGTTGGACATCTTCAAGTGATGTGGTTTTTGTTATTTGGTATAAGTTCTTTATGATTTGATAGTGCCAGTTTATATAAGATTTCATAAAGAATTGTTTTCTTTGTTTTATTTTTTCTGTTTATTAAGATAAAAATTTGGTACTTATTTCTGCTTCCCTCATATGAGTTTTGAAATGTATTTCTGGTTATATAATAAAAAAAAAAGAATGAGACATTATTGAAAAGTATATTTATATTCTTTTGTCATGATATATGGCACTATATATCATGGTGGTGAGAAGGTCAAGTTTTCTTCCTTTCCATGACAAGTAAACATTCAGTATTCATTGGGCAAGCAGTCAGTACTACTATTGGTTGAAATTTATAAAATCTTTCTCTTAAAAATTTTTTTGCTGTTATTGCTCTTTTCTTTATTGATAGGGGTTTCCTTCCTATCTTTTTATTTGAAGTAGTGTCAGCATCTAGATTGTTCTTATTTTCTCTTCAAGTTACATGTGATATCTATTTTAGCTGTTGCTGCTGTTGAAAATCTTCAAGTGATACAGTTTCTGTTATTAGGTACAGTTCTTTGTTTGTGATTCTATAACG